GTGCCCCTAAAGCAAAAAAAAAAAAAAAAACCTCTGCAAAAAAAAAAAAAAGAATTTACCAGAGACAGAAGTGTGAGTGTGAGCAGAAGTTAAGTTGCTTAGAGCTCAGAGTGCAGGCTTGAGTGCCAGGGTGAGACCTGACCAAGTTCACAGGTTCCAGCCTTTTGGTGGGGAGGGTCTCCGTTTTATGGTCTCTATGTAGGAGGAGAGTAAGGATGAACTTTGCCCCCCCAGGTTCTTATCCTGAGCAAGTATGCTTATTTCCTTAGACAAGGCTCTTCTTGGGCTCACCTTATTAACCCTTGCTTGCCTATTTTCATTTTTAAAGAATTGTTTTATTTCATTTTATTTACTTATTATTATTCTTCAATTTGAGCAGAGATAGACACAGAGAGAGGGAGAGTGAGAAGGCAAGCCACCAGATCTGGGACTTGAACCACAGCCAGCCATGTGGGAGTCCAGCACCTTAATCACCATGCCACTTGCCGGCCCTGACTTGCCTCTTTTCTTATGAACCCTCCACAGTGTTTGCTGTAAATATCTTACAAATGAGGAAGGACCGGAACAGGGAGATAGGCAGCTGTCCTGGGCCACCAGGCTGTAAAGTAACAAGCGACCCCTCTCCCAGGATGCTCTCCAAAGCCTGTATCTGGGCCCACACCACCTCCACAGACTTTTCTAAGCCACCATCGGCTGGGACCAAAGCAGGGTGCAGAGCAGCTTTTTCAGGGAGCAGCCCTCAGGTTCAACACGAGAGCTCCTCTTCCCTGTGGAGAAAGAACCAGAGAGGAGCAGGAGCCGGGGCAGGGTGGGAAGTCAATGGTTTGGGAAAGTGGCTGGAGGCCAGGATGGAGCCAAGCCAGCCAGGACCAGGGGAGGAGCTGCTTCCCCCGGGGGGTCTGGTCTCCGGGTTCCCAGAAACAGGCTGGGACAGAAGCAGGGTGGCCTCACAGGCTGAGGGAGATGGCAGGGCTGGCCGTGCTGCTGAGGGGCTCCCCCAGCCACAGGAACCTCGGAGCAACCCAGTTCTGAGAACTCCGCAGCTCCCTCCCTCCTGGAGCTGTGGGCTGGGCTGCTGGAGTACTTTCAGTTTTGTTTTCTTGTCGTCAGAAAAAAAACGAAACTCATCAGAAAGACTCCAGAGGCAGGACATGGAGGGAACCTTCCAGGTGTGCGGGAACTGGTAAGATGGTGCTTTTTCTAGCAGGTGGCCAGAGCTGGCGAGGGAGGAGACAGACAGGGCCAGGCTGTTTCTGAAGTGAGAAAAACAGGGCCGCAGAGAGCAAAAAGGGGATTATGAGCCCTGAGGCAGGAAGGTTTAAGCCTAGCAGATCTCTGCGTGAGGATGCTTGGCTTTCCCTTCACTCCCCTGCACACTCTTCCCCCAGGGATTTCCAACCTTCCGGCTCAGTCCTGAAGCTAGGCAGCCCGCTGACTGTTCCTCCCTGGTTCATTCTTTCTTTCTCTCTTTCTTTCTCTCTTTCTTTCTTAATTTAATTAATTAATTAATTAATTAATTAATTTCGAGAGGTTTTTGCTATAGGGCACGTGTGCTCGCCGGAAAGAGAGAGACAGACAGAAAACGAGAAATCACCCCCCTATGGGGGATGGCCACATGGCAGTCCCTTCTCCATTTTCCTCTCGGGATCTTGGGCACGCACGCACACACGCCAGCCTGAGTTTAAGCCACCGAGTCTGGGACTTGAACTGCAGTGGACTACATGGGAGTCCAGCGACATAGCCATTACGCTAATTGCTGGTCCCCATCCCAAGTTCTTCATGCCTGTCAGATCTTGGGCCCTAACGGGGGCAGTCTGATAATACTCTCTTCATGCCAATCAAGAATGGAGCTCCTAGGGAACCAGCAGTTGGCGTAATGGCTATGTCGCTGGACTCCCACGTAGTCAACCGCGGTTCGCGTCCCGGACCCGGTGGCTTAGAACTCACGCCGGGCGCATGTGCGTGCATGCCCAATATCCCATGAGGAGAATGAAGGAGAAGGGATTGCGGTGTGACCATCCCCCCTGGGGGGTCATTTCTTGCTTTCTGTTTCTCTGTCTCTCTCTGTCTGTCTGGCGAGCGCACGCGCCCTATAGCAAAAACCTCTCCAAAAAAAAGAAAAGAAAAAAAAAAGAACGGAGCTCCTGGCAATTCTCCAGAATGATTCTCACCCTCGTCTTGAGAGAGAGCTGCAAGAGGGACAAGGAGGGCAGAGCAGGTGGGGCCAGGACCACCCCCTGGTCCCGCGGGAGCGCTGGCCTGATGCAGGCCTCACTCTCTGAGCACCCTAGTGCAGCAAGCACCAGAGTGGGCCTGCCCTGAGAGTGAGGCTCTGATTAGACCCTTTCTGCTGCCTGGTGCCTGTCTCAGCTCAGGAAGAAGAGGGAGAGGCTGGACAGTGTGGGAGCAAAGAGCTTATCCAGACCAAGAGGTTGGAGACCCTGGCTATCCCCCCTCCCTGCCCAGCCATATGTCATGTGCCATGGACGTGGGCGTGCAACTCCCCTGCCGTCTGGGCCTTTAGGACCCCTTGGTCCCAGGCTGCCACAGGTAGGAGTGAGTGGAAATGAGGTGATGGTGACGAAACTGTCAGGAAGTGGGAGGCCTAGAAGCTGTTGGTCACTGGGGCCTCTCTGTGGCTACTACAGGTGAGCCTGGAGGCAGCAGGTAGTGGACTGGCTCTCTGGGAGACTCTGGAAGGTCTCACTTTGGAGACTCTGAAAGTTGAGGTTGCCATGGGGGAAGCATAGCTGGGATAGGGGTAAGGGCTAGGGGCCAAGCAGGGACGCTAGAAAAGAAGAAAAAAGAACTGAAATAATTTGATGCTCATTTCACTTTTCAAACAGCTTTATGGAAGCGTTATTGACAGAATAAACCGCGCGATTTTAAGCACACCGTTTGCCACCTTTGGCATACGTGAACACTGAGCCCATCTTACGATCCAGGCTGGCTCCGTAGCATAGTAGTTAAGTGCCGTGCATGGAAAGCCAGATCCCACATGGCTGAGAGTGGATCACATCCGAGCCTTGGTGGCTAGGGTTGCATGTGTGCATACCCAAAATTCTGATGAGAAGGAGAAATGGAAGAAAAAGGACTGCTGTGTGACTATACCCCATGGGGGGTGGTGAGGTGGGGCGCTCTCTCTCTCTCTCTCTCTCTCTCTCTCTCTCTCTTGCAAGTGCTGCCCTCTAGTAATAGAAAAGAAATAAAGGAGAAAAATAGATAATGAAGCCACCCATCACCCTCCTTGAACTGCCTGCCTCCCTGTACCCCTTCACCATCCCTCACTCCCGCTCCTTCCCTCCCACCTGCCCTGGATGGTGGAAGTGCTTGGCCGAGCGCCCTTGACTTCTTTTACGACACTGGACGCTGCTGGACGCTGCGTTGTTCTGAGTCTGGGCTCATCCAGGCGGCGTGGGGCAGGAGGCAGCGTGGTCATCAGATGGTCAGTGCCAAAGACGTAGGTGTGAAAGAGGCCCTGTGTGTTACACCAGGAAAATAAGAGTATTTCCCCCCTTTATCCTGTAGCAAAAGAAGCGTGCCTTCTTCTCACTTCACCCTCCATGAGGCCCACTGCCTGCGCTTCCAAGAGGTGAAGGAGCATTGCATGAACCCGCAGGTGAGTAAGGGGAAGGGACGGAGGATGTCTGGGATGCAGGGACTGGAGTCAGTCCTGCAGTGACCCACTCGCTGCCTGGGAGGCACTAAGCCCTCCATGCTCAGCCCCTATTTGTGCAGAGGAAAGGGCAGTCCTGCCTCTCTCATCACTAGCTGAGTCTACCTCTGTTCTCATATCCAGCCCTTGCCCTTCGGGTTTATGGGTCTGGCCCTGGTTTTTTTTTGGAGAGGTTTTTGCTATAGGGCAAAAATCAAAATAGAAAGACACACCGGAAGTTGTGTGCATGCATGCCCAAAATCCCAAAGGGGAGAGGTGGAGAAGGGATTGTGGCATGACCATGCCTCCTAGGGGAGGTGCTTTCTCACCTCTCTCTCTCTCTCTTTCTGTCTCTCTCTGGTAAGCACATGTGCCCTCTGGCAATGTTTTCTTTTTTTTTTAAAGAAAAGAAACAAAGAAGAATTCTACCTGGCCACTCTCTTCTCTCTTTGGACCCAATGAGCTCAAAAGAGTGGAGAGTTAACCCATCACAGGGACTCTCTTGCACCCAGATGGGGTCAGAAGACTTGCTGGGGTCTGAGTCAAGACTGCTTGAAATGTGACTAGCAGATGACGTAATGGCTACATCGCTGGACTTCCACATAGTCAGCCACAGTTCGAGTCTTGGACCTGGTGGTTTAAAACTCACACCTGGCACATGTACATGCATGCTCAAGATTCCAAGAGGAGAATGGAGGAGAAGGGACTGTGGCATGGCCATTCCCCCTGGGAGGTGATTTCTCGCTTTCTCTCTCTCTGTCTCATGCACATGCCCTATAGCAAAAATCTCTCTTTTTTATTATTTTTTTGGAGAGGTTTTTGCCATAGGGCATGTGCGCTCGCCAGAAAGACAGAGAGAGACAGAGAGACAGAAAGCGAGAAATCGCCCCCCAGGGGGGATGGCCACAATGCAATCCCTTCTCCTCCATTCTCCTCTCGGGATCTTGGGCACATATGCACATGCACCTGGTGTGTGTTTAAGCCACCAGGTCTGGGACTCCAACCATGGTTGGCTACATGGGAGTTCAGTGACATATCCATTATGCTAACTGCTGGTCCCACAAAAATCTCTCTTAAAAAAAACAAACATGCTTGGATTCCCTGAGGATAGTCGCCTGCTCTGGGCCCTCCCATCACTTTCTCTCTGGCTTCCTGTCCCCAGGGAGATGGGCACATGCCCCTGACCTGCCTATACAGTTCATGTCCTTCCTGCTGCCTCCCCCAGGCCGAGGAACACCAGGAGCGCCCGGCGGAGTGCAAGTTCTGCGAGGTGGCTATGAGCCTCAGCAAGCTGGAGCTCCACGAACAGCACTGTGGGGGCCGCATGGGGCTCTGCCCAGACTGTAATCAGCCTGTCAAGCTCCACGCACTGGCGCAGCACAAAGATGTCTGCCAGGGTGAACAAGCCCAGCTGGGGGAAGGGAAGCTGTACAGGCCGGAGAGGACAGAAGAGGCTTCCAGGGCCAGAGTCTTTCCTGATGGGATGCCAGCAACGGTAGCTCTCAACAGGACAGATGACAAGGGTATTTGTTGTGTGTGTCTCAATTGGGCTGGCTATTCTAGTTCTAGACCATGCACTTGAGTGGCCCTCTTGTATGTGTGCTGTGGTCTTCAAATGACTGGTTCAGGGAGACCAGGAGGCCAGGGGTGGGGCCTTGGAGCCACGCAGATGAGTGAGGAGGCCATGGGGATCTCTGGAAAATGGGAGGCTTCTTTTGAACTCCTCCAGCACAATTCTAGCCCGGCAGAGACCACCCACATCTTTTTACAAATGAGAAACCCACACACAGAATCAATCAGGGTCTTGCTAAAGGCAGAAACAAGACTGGACACCCAAATTTCTCATCCCCAAATCTAGAGTTCTTTTTACCATTGACAAAAGACAGAAGGAAACTTGTGACTCCTGACCTTCGGGCCTATGAGCTGGCTCTCAGACCCCATATTCTCTTGACCCAATTACCTGTACATGAGGGTATGTGTACCAAGGCTAGCCATCAAGATGGCAGATCTTTTTTTAAAAAAAACTTTTTTAAAGAATTATTTTAATTTAATTTATCTTTTATTATTATTTAATTTGCTATAGGGTGTGTGAGCTCACCAGAGAGAGAAAGAAAGCAAGGCTCCAGGTCCAGGACTCAAACCACAGTCGGCCATGTAGGAGTCCAGCACCTTAACCACTTGCTGGCCCCAAGGTGGCAGATCTTATGTCAACCTGGCTGTTTTGATAATGAGAAGAGAATTTAAAACCCCTTGGATTATTTACTCTTCTGGTAAATATCTAAGCTCAGCGTTGACCAATGAAAACTGGCAAGTGAGATTCACATGTATTTCCTCAACGCCGTATGGCTAGGCTTTAACGCAACCAACCTTAGTCTTCAACACAACTTCATCTTTGTGACATGACTTCAGCAGTACAACATAACACAACTTCAACACAGTCAGCAAAGATGTATACAGCCAGGACTGGCTCTGTGGTGCAGCAGTAATGCACTGCTTGAGAGAAGCCAGATCCCTTATGGTGACCGTGGTTTGGATCTCAAGCCTGGTTGTCCTGAAACATGCCAGGTATGCATTCAAGTGTCTAATATCTAAAGGGCTAGAGTACTGAAGGAAGAGGATCATGGTGTGACCAGATCCTGTGGCGGGTACTCCTGTCTCCTCTCTCTCTCTCTCTCCTCTCTCACACACACACTTACACACACACACACCACACACACAAACACACATGCTCATATGTATACCCAGGGGTCCTTAAATGAAAAAAGGAAAAAAAAAAAAAAAGATGTATACAATCAACACCTGTTTTGACCCTAAAATTTCTGTAGCAGGAAGCTGGTAGAATGAAAGAGCTATCTGATTGGACAGGATCAGCATCTGTGGTTTCAGCTCCTTTCATCTCCCTACCAACCAGTCCTGTTACAGGAAAACATCTCTTCACCAGGGTTACATGCTCCCCTGAGTGCACATTCATGGCCATGATGTGGGTGATTCAGCCTGCTTGTGTGGCTGAGGATAGAGGCAGAATGGGAGGCTCACAGCTAGGGAGGCCTTGGGGCAGTTCATATTCAGGAGTACAGGCCATGTAGGCAGCTGTGGGAGAGCTGGGTTAGCCACTGTCCAGGGCAATCATTTGTGGTGTTGTTTCTGTGCTTATTCAGGGAAGAAAAATTTGGACTCTGAAAAGGAAATCTACTGTTATTATTGCAACCAAATGATTCCAGGAAATAAGTATTTCTACCATATGGTGAGTAGCAATTTGTAATTTTATAATGGTACCAATAGTGAGTCCATATTCCAAAAAGTGTGATACCAAAGGTAGATTCTGGGCCCAATTTTACAAAGCACAGATATCATAGGCTCCTATTTTTTGTGTATGTGTGTTGTTTAAAAGGGATTTTAATTAATTGTGTTAGGTGAATTTCACATAACACAATTAGTCTTTGTTTGTGCCCATTCCTTCAAGGAGACTCCCTGACCACTCCTGATATTACTGACCACCTCTGACCATCTCCAACCTTCAGGTCTTGGACATTTCAGTTTGGTTCTCTGTTTTCTGCCCCAAACGGGAATCTTCTCTGATTGACTATAAGCTCACTGGCAAAACTCATTGATAGTTTCTTCTTGGTATTAGAGCTGGGTATAAAAAAGGGGATTCTAGAAATGGGATCACATGAGTGGTTGGTTGGTTGGTTTTGCCTGAGAACAGTCATAAACTATTCCCTCCATAGTCCTAAGCCACTTTTAGTGCATTACTGTGCCAAGTCACTTCCCAATTTTACAAAAGGTGGAGCAGCTTCCCTCTGGGAAACCTACAAGGCTTCTCTCCAAGGAATTCATCTCCTCCTTGGGCAGAGAGAGAGCTGTTCACCCTTCTTAACCCTGTACTTTATAGAACTGTAAATATCAGAACTAAAGAGACCGAGAGATGATCTAGCTCTTAACTTTTTTGGGGGGAAGTGTCTTATTGTGGTAAAATACATATAAAATAAAATTTACAATTAGTGACATCTAATACATTTATAATGTTGTGCAATGTAGTCCCAGGACTTTTCTATCACCTCACAAAGAAACTGTACCCTTTAATAGCTATTCCCTACTTGCCACTCTTCCCAGTCCATGGCAAACACTAACCTACTTTCTGTCTCAATGGATTTGTCTATTCTGGACATTTCCTGTAAATGGAACCATATAATATATCGTCTTATGTGACTGACTTCTTTCACTTCACATAAAGTTTTTCAAGGTTTATTTGTGTTATAATCGTGGCATGTATTAGCACTTGATAGCATTTTTATTGTCATACTAGAATTTGTTTATCTATCTGTTTGAGCTTTTGGGTTGTTTCTACCTTTCTGTTCCTTTCTGTTGCTTGCTTTTATCAGCCTGCAGCATCACCTGGGACCTTGTTAGATGAGTAATCCCACACACCCAGAAATGCTAAATCGAGATATTCAGGGTCACAAGAGTCCCCAGTTGGTTCAAGTTTAATAAGCACTGTCCCAGACAAATCATTCTCAGCCCTCACTGACTGTCGAAACCACCCATTGATGTGTTTTCCTTAATACTGATGCTTACTGTCACATAGTGTCTGTGTCTTCTGTATGAATCACAACTGGAGTTGTGGTCTGAAATGCTGAATTTTAGTTCTGTTCTGCCACTAACTGCCACTAACCTTCCTGAGGTTTCTTCTTCTTTTGAGAAAAATAGAGAAGATGATTTATCTATTTCTTCAGAAAAAGAGGATATCCATGACCACTCAACACCAGCCTACCTCCTCGCCAGCATCTACACCTACATATTCTGCCTTCCTACCTGTTCCATAGAGGAGCTTTGCCTGTTGCTGTCTAAAGCCTGACCCCTGCAAGTGCTCTACATCCTCACTTGCCTATTCAGGGTCTTGCTGCATTGCTCCAGCAATTCTCCCCTCTCTTTCCTACAAGAGGAGAGGTTAAATGTACTTGAAGTCAACAACAAAGTCTCAAAACTGTTCACTCTGGTATGTTCTAACATTCATTGTAAGTTTTTAAAGAGGTAATGCTAACCAATACTTAGATCAATAGTATCTTTGATCTCGCATGGAAAGTATTCTCTCTGGCTCACTAAAACAAACAAACAAACAAACAAACAACCTAGAGACTGAAATTATGTCTACTACTAAGTGGCTTTATGGTTCTCCGACTTTAGTTTAACATGCCCCCAAAACAGGAAAACAAAAAGTTACATCTCTTGATCCCATTTTCCGTCAGCAACCATCTTTGTTCTTCTTTGTAGAAAAACATTTGACTATAGTTGTCTATAGCCATTGTCTTTTTCTTCTCTCATTTTTAAGATTATTTATTTACTCTGTATAATAGAGAGACAGAGAGACAGTACCCCCAAGAAAGTTTTAACACCATTGCACCACAGCTTTAGGCAGGCCCAGATCATGGGCACATGCACACCTGGTGTACTCAGGAAGGTCTCTAGACATGAACTGGTACCTTCCCATGTGGGTCAGTCTTGCAGTATCATATCTTATCACCACTTTTTGGCCCTTCTTCTCCCATTCTTGTACCCACTTTCTTGTACCCAACATAACTTTTTCACTCACTACCACCCTTCAAGTCCACTAAAACCACTCTTATCAAAATCATCAATGACCTTTGCATTGCGAAAACCAATGCTCGGTTCCCAGTCTGCAATTTATGAGCATTTAACACCACTGTTCATCATTCCCTCTCCCTCAGTTCACTTTCCTGGCTTCCAGGGAATCCTACTGTCTTGGTTTCCAATTACCTTCCTGATCTCACCTTCTCAAACTCTCCAACTTCTTAAATTTGGGGACCTCAGGGTTCAGTCTTGGTCTCTCTTCTTCATATACTCACTGCCTCAATAATTTTATCCAATCTCCTCATTAAAATTTTTTTTGTATTGCCAGAGGGCATGTTGCTCACCAGAAAGAGATAGAGACACAGAGAGAGGCAAAAGAGCGTGATCACACCATAATCACTCCTCTCCTCCTTCATTTATTTATCCTGTCAGGACTATGGGCATGCACATATACCTAGAATGTTTTTCAAGTCATGGGCTAGAATTCAAACCATGGTCAATTCAAACCAGGTACAATCTGGCTCCCTTAACCACTAGGCTACAAGCTTGGTCCAAATCTGGCTCCCTTAACCACTAGGCTACAAGGTTGGTCCGCAATCCCCCAATTTTTAAATTTAGAGATATCTCTTTTTTAAGTCTTGAAAAAAATTGTGTGTGTGTGTGTGTGTGTGTGTGTGTGTGTATTATCTATTTATTTGTTGTAATTTTCAAGTCACTGAGTCCAGAATTTAAACTGCAGTTGGCCATGTGAGAATCCAGTACCTTAACCACCATGCCACCTGTTGCTCCCAATCTCCCCAATTTTTTTTTTTTTCTTGGAGAGGTTTTTGCTATAGGGCGCACATGCTTGCCAGAAAGACAGAGAGATACAGAGAGACAGAAAGCGAGAAATCACCCCCAAGAGGTATGGCCACGACGCAATCCATTCTCCTCCATTCTCCTCTCGGAATCTGGGGCACGCACACACACACACGCTCGACATGAGTTTAAGCCACTGGGTCCAGGACTCGAATCGCAGTCAGCTACATGGAAGTCCAGCAACAAAGCCATTACACCAACTGCTGGTCCCCCAATCTCCCAATTTTTAAAGTTGCTATACATAAGCAAACACTCCCAAATTTATATCTCAGTCTGGACATTTTTCCCCAAACTCCAGATTCATACTCAGCATCTTCATGTGAATGTCTGATAGACATCTTAAATACAGCACATCTGGAAAAGAATCCTCTCTGCCATAGCTTTGCCCATCTTAGTTGATGGCAACTCTACCCTTCCAGTTGCTCAGGCCATTTCAGGTCCATACCTGACTCCCTTCTTCCTCTCAGTGTTGCGACCCTGGTGGGAACCACTATCCGCTCTAACATGGATGATGCAGCATCTCCTAACTGGTCTCCCTACCTCTCACCTTGTCCCCTGCAGTCTGTTCTCCCCACAGTGGCCAGTAAGAGCCTTTCAATATATAAGCCAGGTTGTTTTGCTCCTCTGTTCAACTGTACCCCATTTCACGCAAAGTCAAAATTCTTGCACTTGCCTCCGAGCTCTACAGCAGCTATGGCTCCTTTCCTTCCTCATCACTCTTTGATCTCATCTCCAACTCACTAGCTTCCTGGTGGTTTCTTAAGGAAATCACTTTTTTATTATTATTATTTTTTAAATTTTTTATTAACTTTTTTTTTTTTTGGAGAGGTTTTTGCTATAGGGCGCGTGCGCTCGCCAGACAGAGAGAGACATAGAGACAGAAAGCGAGAAATCACCCCCCAGGGAGGATGGTCACGCCGCAATCCCTTCTCCTCCATTCTCCTCTCGGGATCTTGGGCACGCACGCACACGCGCCTGGCGTGAGTTCTAAGCCACCAGGTCTGGGACACAAACCGCAGTCAACTACGTGGGAATCCAGCGACATAGCCATTATGCTAACTGCTGGTTCCCAGGAAATCACGGTTTTGAGTACACCATGACTTGGGGCCTTTTCCTCTACTTGAAAGCCACCCCCCGCAAGCCACCCCCACCTCCATACTCCCTATATTCTTACCTCCTTCAAATATTTGTTCAAATGACACCTTCTCAAGGACACACACCTTGACAACCTATTTAAAATTACAACCCCTACCCACCACACATTCATAACCCCTCTTACCTTCATTTCTTTTTGTAGCATTTCTAACATGTGATCTGATTTATTATAATAATAATTATCAGTAAATCAATATTCTTTATTAAGGCTCTGATTAATTGTCTACCAACACCCCAGTTAAAATACAAGTTCCACGGCTCCCCTTTCCTGCACACAAATACACTATTTTCCATCTCTTAGCTGTTTCTTTGGTTAGTTAGCTCTCATATTTCTTTTTTTTTTTTTTGGAGAGGTTTTCACTATAGGGTGTGTGTGCTCGCCAGACAGACAGAGAGAGACATAGAGACAGAAAGCGAGAAATCACCCCCCAGGGGGGATGGTCACGCCGCAATCCCTTCTCCTCCATTCTCCTCTCGGGATCTTGGGCACGCACGCACACACGCCTGGCGTGAGTTTTAAGCCACCGGGTCCGGGACATGAACCATGGTCGACTATGTGGAAGTCCAGAGACATAGCCATTACGCTAACTGCTGGTTCCCAAGCCCTCATATTTCTAAAGTACCTCCATTTTTTTTTTTTTTGTTTTTTGAAGAGGTTTTTGCTATAGGGTGCGTGCGCTCGCCAGAAAGACAGAGAGAGACAGAGAGACAGAAAGCGAGAAATCACCCCCCGGGGGGATGGCCACACCATGATCCCTTCTCCTCCATTCTCCTCTCATAATCTTGGGTATGCACTCACATATGCTTTGTATGAGTTTGAAACCGCCAGGTCAGGGACTCAAACTGAGGTCGACTACATGGGATTCCATCAATGTAAACATTACGCCATCTGCTGATCCCCTAAAGTACCTTCTTAAACCGATATTCTTTTTCTTTCTTTTTCAGTTTCAGTTATTATCTATTGACAGATACTTATTTTTATACCATCTATCTTACACACATCTCCAAGTTTCTTCCCTACAATTTGTAGATATTATTTATTCTGGTTAAGTCAACATTCCATATTACATTAATGTGAGCATATAAATACTATAAATGGTTTGCTACATGAACTGTAATTACATTTGTTTTCGTCTACACCTTTTTGCTTTCCCTGGAGTTAATAATTGCTTCAGTTTTTCATCTGATTTATGTGCCTATCATTAAATCATCCCTAAAACTCTCTACCAGATTGAAAATCCCCCTTTAATATAATGAAATACATTAGGTGTCTTATCCATTTCATTTTGGGAGCATGTTATTCTCCAAGCATGATAAGTGGCTGTCATTCTGCAAATTTATTTGACTCTTTCCAATGCTAGAGTTCTGCCCCAAAATTTCCAGTCAGGTCTTTTTTTTTTTTTTCTTTAAAGAATTATTTTATTTAACTTTGTTCATTGTTATTATTTTATTTTATATTTTATTTTTTGGAGAGGTTTTTGCTATAGGACGCGTGCGCTTGCCAGTCAGACAGAGAGAGAGACAGAGAGACAGAAAGCGAGAAATCACCCCCCAGGGGAAATGGCCATGCCACAAATCCTTGTCCATTCTCCTCTTGGGATCTTGGGCACGCACGCACACCCGCCTGGCGTGAGTTTTAAGCCACCGGGTCTGGGACGCGAACCACCGTCAACTACATGGCAGTCCAGCGACATAGCCATTACACCAACTGCTGGTTCCTCAATATCTTTTTTAAGATTTTCATAGTTTTCTTTATAAAGATCTTTGACTTTCTTAGTTAGGTTTATCCCTAGGTATCTTAT